ATCATGACGGAACCGCTAACCCTAAGCTGGCCTTTAGGCAGAAGAAAGCAATGGAAGCCGGGATAACAAGATGCAAGAAATCATCGAACCAAATCTCAAAGTGAAACACTGATATTCAAAATGTACCATTGAACTTAATTCCTAAGACAAGATAAAATCAAGAACAGAAAGTGATCCAAGAGTATTAGCCCATAAAAATGACCATAGAGATATATCCTTTAAATGCCTTTGAAGCAAATATGATGAGTTGACTGACAAGAGACTGTATAAATCATACCTTAAACGAACTCACCAGAAAAACTGACCACAATCCAGGCTGTGATCATGTTTGTATTCAAACTGCTTACTATCTTTTTTAACGGTGCTCACCCCCTTTTCATTGAGGAATCGTTTAACAGCGGAAATGTGTAACCATGCTGAGCCAGAAAACTGAGTGAAACCTATCAGGAACCATTACGTCATTGTGACGTATTTTATCGTTCCAGTGTCTGAGCCGATAGCTGCACTGTTGTTTAATGAACAGAGGTATGCCTAACACCACAGCTTTTCTTAAAATTATTGTTTTGCTACGAGTGTTTCAATGAAAGAAACGAGAAGTGAGTAATTACACACTGAAAGGGGGGAGGGGAGGGAGAGTTCCCCTCACCTCTACCCCTCTAGCTCATTAAAGAAGTTACTATTTCGGCGGGCTACAGGCAACTAGTGATTCACGACTAACGATGGAGCCATGGCCCACCTTTGAAAACAGTTCAAGCGAGGAAAAATTAAGTAGTGGCGTAGTGCGAACGTAATGCAAAAATTAAATCGGTTTTTCTGCTTAGTTAACTAATACCCCAACGAGAGCAAACCGAAAAATCGAAAAAAGAGATGGAAACCGAATTCCGAGAAGTTTATCAGGACCACATGAAGTAAGAAAGTTTGTCCTGTCATACCTGAGGAAAGCTTGTTTTTAAAGAATTTATCACGGACTTTGGGGTATTAGCTCCTTTATTGTTGAGGAAGAAGCATCATACATTCTTACAGAACAGTAAACAAAGCTTCATTAGAAAAACATGCTTTTGTCTGGTTTGAACCGCAAAGGACGAAGATTAAGTGTTTTCCTCGGTTGAGATGTCGATTTACAAATCGTCATTATCTAAAATTCATTGTTGAACTTGAGAACAACATTCATTAAATTCCTTTTGAGATTGACGCACATAGCCAAAGACTAAAAATTTGCGAAATTTTTTTCAAGTAGATTCGGTTGAGACTTGAAAAAATAACCACCTGTACTACGAATTATAATTAATTTCAATTTTCTTTGTTCCCCGGCAAAGATTTAACTCAGGAGGTATAAATTTCATAGTTGGAGTGTAATATCTATCGATACGATGGTCGTTGAAGTAAAGTTTCGAAACGTACATATCAAAGTTGCCTTCTTCTAAAGAAGCTCAGAGAGATGGTGCGTGTCTATCTAGACTATACCTCCGGCGCCGGTAACATTACGCATCAGAAAAGCAGGTAAATTTGGTGAAAGCTGAACTTCGTAAACATCGCTGTTGTATTCTATTAACACGAAAGTCAAATTATGACGATATCAGAATATCGAGCGTTTTCGATATGCTTTACACCTCAAGCAATTCCTCTTAACTGTAAACAAATTGAGCAAAACCGGGCCGCCAACAATTGTAGCAACAATCTCGTAATATTTTTAACGCGGGGCTTGTACGCTTTTTGTTTTTACATAGAGCTCCAATTTTGCGAAGCAGAAATTATAAGTATAATGATAAAGATACATATCCGGCACCGAAGAATCGAACAGAAATTTAAAAAAGCAAATGAAGTAAGAGTTGTCACCCGGGAAATCGAAGACAGCTTAAAACTCCAGGAAGTTTAAATTACGATCGGCCTATACCTAACTAAAAGTTGCGTGCAACAGCGACATAAAATTCAAGTTCTTTTCCTTTATCTGAATCACGAACATACCTCCAATAGCAACGACGAGCCAAAACGAAGCCATTAGCGAACAGACCACTTGTTCACGACTATTCAGTAATGCTTTGGTGTCCGACTTCAGTTGGCCAACGCAATGAGCGAGAAATTTTTGTCAACTGCGAAAGCAAAAACATAGACCACACAAGACTGAATTAATATTACCGGTCAATATCCATTGCGGTGCAAAGCACGACCACACGAACCCCAGGGGACCTCAATACCCCTTTGTTGAACAATTCAAAAGATTATGTGCTCATGGAAGATCCTTTGTTTCTCGTATTCTTGTCAAATGAGGCATTCCTAGCAAGATCAACAAGTAGAAAGCAGAATTTCGATTGTTAGAGAATCGTGCGGAGCCTTACCCGAGTCATACCCGGTAGGAAATACTCTCCGATATTTTGCTAGGGCAGGATCTGTCTGATGAAGTATAGAAACTTAGTCCACCTTTGTATTTGCACGACTTTTAGCGTGAATTAACTAGTTGTACAAGGCTGACAACTGTACCCAGGAATTGTAACAACGCAAACGTAGAATGTCTAATAATCAGGAGGTTTTGGTTTAAGAGTTCAAAATCCTTTTTCAGTTCTGCACAGTCTGGACCCAAAAAAAAATTCCAGTAACTATTTATAACTTTTCTATATGGAACACATACTTCGAAGCTTGTTTCCGATAACGAGTTATTTTAAGGAACAAAATGCTCATATTGTCATCCTGATGATTCAGCACTGAACCTTAAGTCAACTTACACGGGAAGTCGATGTCAAATCAGAACCATTAGGAGTCATTATCCGCCGCCCACACACTCCAAAGCAAGCTGCCGTGGAATTTTATTCCTGAGCTCGAGAGTCCGAAGATATCATTCAAAATAGTCAGTTCAAACAAAAATGTTAAATTATGCTCTAGCCCATTGTCGTCACGGAGGTCAATATTTTCAATCGCTCAGTGTTCGATGTACTGCTTGTTTAAATTAACATAAGTGGAGTTTGGTTGAAGTGAGTGGGTGGGTATGGCTCTTAGTCCTGAGTCATAAACATTAATTAATGTAAATGCTTTTGAATTTGACTGCTTTTATTTGCGTGAGAAATATCACAGACTGCGGGGCGCTATAACCTTTTGTAAAACCAGCTGCCGATTAAAAATAAACACTTGCGCTTAGTACAACAGCGCATGCTAACGAGGATCATTCGTTTGGGTATGACACTTGGCGCGATTATTTAATGAAATCATAGTGAAATAACTTGGATATTATAACTATTGTCACTTTGAGTGTCAAGTTAATCTCCCAAGTATCGTTTCAATTACATCACGTCGCCACGAGAAAGGCGACTTTCGCGCGCGTTGTACTGCGTGACCCCCGCGTAACTCATGACCCTCCTGCTTTCCCAAAAGGAAACAGAATTAGCTACTTCGCAAGCATCTCGAAATTCTCGTCCATTTATTTGTCTCTTTGCTTTAGTAAGGTTTATTATCACCGTTGTACTCTCTTCATATTACATATATCTTTTTTCCCTTTCAAAATTGCCCCCAGCTTTCAAGGGTTACACAAATGGTTGCAAACATCGTGTCATTCCTTGCTTAAACGGAGTGCGCATACTCGTTCCATTATCTTGCATCAAAGCCTCCAGTTTCGAACACTCAAGGGCTGTATTATGAGGCCTTGGTGTCCCTGTGGGAGGGTTGGGATTTGGTGTCAAGTGACTGATAGGTAAATTAAAACTTTCAGCCATATGACAAGCCATGGAATATTTTGACATGGCTTCAATGCCACTCCAATGCCAAATTCCAGTCATTGTATGATCACTGACGTGCTTTTCTGCAATAAATTTGCACACAGCAGCAACATCGTCCACCAGGGTTGGATAACGGATTTGATAATCGTCTATTACGGCAGGTTTATCCGTCTGCTTGACCGCATCAAATAACACTGCAAATGTGATAAATAAATAGTTTAATCTCCTCCAGGTAATGAAAGCAATTAAGTGAAATTTACTAAATTAGATATATGTTTGACAAATTCATAAGTACATGAATTAGATAAAGGGAAGGAAACACATCTCAGCAAAGCACAACTTTTGGCAAAGCACAACACAAAGAAAAACACAAGCAATTCAAGACCATGAAACATGTATATATTTTTTTTTTTTTTTAAACCAGGAGTTCTGTATGATCAAAAACAGTTCTGTGAAAGAGAAATATAAGAATGCCTGTTCACTCTGTCAAAATGCCAGCACCTTGAGATTAGAATATAAAAGCTCTGACTGCCCATCGTGCCAAGATATAATGGAAGGTATAAAGGAAGGACTTCAACATATTGCACACTATGGCACAGGACAATCTGAGTAACTAAGCTGCAAGGCTGATACACTCACAGCATAACAGCATCACAAATCACCTTAGAGTCAAAGTAAATTGAGTTTCAATATTTTGCTGAAGTGTAAGTGTCCACTTTAAATAGTGGTCATGACTAAATTCTAAATTATACCAATCTTTACATATGAGTACAATTTTTCTGGCTTGCAGAACCCCTTCAGAACTTTATATGCCTAAAAGCCTCTTCATAAACCTTGTGAACAAGCCAACTGAGATTCTAGGACTGTTAGATCTCAACTACTGTATTTACTAGTGTATAAGTTGAACTTGTGTAATAGTCACCCCCCCATTTACAAGGTCAAAAATCAGATTTTTCATCATTTCTAGTTAAAGAAGTAAAATTCAGACCAATAGAAATTTCTCAAAATGTTTATCTCTTATTTCTGAGAATGTATTGAAAACAGTGCGAATTAACCCTTTAACTCCCAGATCAAATTTGTAATTCTCCTTACTGTCCACCATACAATTCTTATAATATAAGTTCAGAGAGTTTAGTATTGGATCAACTAATCATTCCCAAATTTATATTTT